AATAGTGCTCCAATAGTGAGGTCACATGACTATGTGTGGTCATGGACATGTTGATCAGATCTAGTGTGCAATGTCTTTAATACAACACTGTTTGAATGTCTATCTGAAATAGTGCTCCAGATATGATGTTTATGCATATTTAATGAGGTCACATGACTATGTGTGGTCATTGAACATGTTGATCAGATCTCGTGTACAATGTCTTCAATACAACACTTTTGAATGTCTATCTGCAATAGTGCTCCAGATATGACGTTTATGCATATTTAATGAGGTCACATGACTATGTGTGGTCATTGGACATGTTGATCAGATCTAGTGTGCAATGTCTTCAATACAACACTGTGTGAATGTCTATCTGCAATAGTGCTCCAGATATGATGTTTATGCATATTTAATGAGGTCACATGACTATGTGTGGTCATTGGACATGTTGATCAGATCCAGTGTGCAATGTCTTTAATACAACACTGTTTGAATGTCTATCTGAAATAGTGCTTCTGATACGACTCTGTATGGATGAAGGACGTACAAACATTTGCTAAGCACTATATCATCCAGAGATAATAAAGATTGTTTCCAATTATACAAAATTCAGACACTGCTAGTTCACAAAGAATGAGCCAATTTACTAAATTACATGCCTTTTTTTTGGTGTTTCACGCTATTATACCACTCTTGAACATGTGACTCATTGTCCTAGTCATGTGTTTATTTCTATAACTCCACACTCAGTACTTTGTCTCATCTAAATGTAGATTTTCACACACGTTTTACATGTGCAAATTAGTAATCACCTTCTTCGGCTTTGTAAAGTTTACAAGATGCTGACCATAGGTGTTACTGTTGCAAATGATACAGTACTAACTATACACATAGAAGCCTTGGTTCAACTTACCTTTCTTTCCCAAGAATTCCTAATGCACCTGCTCTTTTGAACCTGTCATATTGTAATTGTCTGTATTCATTGTACGATATAGGTTTATGTAAACTAACAGATTGCGGTCTTGGAAATTCAATATCAGATGGATCACTAACAATTGTAGTTCTTGACTGTCCACTGAATACACGCCGCCTCCTTTTACCGCCACTCTTGGAACGGGGTTGGCTGTATTCATCAGAACTTGTTGATGAATACCTATCAATATCATTGATGCGAAGATCTTCCATTCTCAAATCTATAAGCAAGCCAAAAACAGAATCATAAGAATACAAACAACAATGCAAGATTTTATTTTGAAATTACATTGACTACATGCATAACAACAATGAACGACAAACAACGCCATATTACTGGAATCCTTCCATTACGAATACTCTAACTTCAATCATCTCCAAAACTCTGGGGTCTACCGTATGATCAAATAGACCATTGGCATGTGGTCCACCATATGACCACCACTAAGAATATAGACAATGACAATGCTACTCATGACTGTAGAGAATTCATTAATGGGTGTGTACCAATCTAAATTTGGCTGGCTGATGTCTAAAACATGTATGATACAGAGCACAGGCCTAGAGCCTTGGAGCATGTACACAGGTATTAACGGAGAGAACACACTAAGTTGTGATAATATAATGTTCTAATTACTACCGGTATAAATGTATTTTACTTTTCAATTCAAACCAACACCTGAACATATGCATTATTATTTTATAGAGATTTATGATTTGTAGCAGCATTATGCAGTCAGGGCCAATATAATGCAATGATTGTACCATATTGGATGAGAAGGGTCTATAGCAAGATAATGTGTGAGGCAAAGCCAAACATAATCACATGTACACCCTTCTCATGCAATATGACGCTGTGGGCATTCATATTTGTTGTTATAAATCAACACAATCTGAAAAGAAAAAAGACTGGCTATGACATCATATAAACCTCTGATTTGTGTAGCAGTGATTTATAACATTGAATAATATACAGCAATGACATCCTGTGATGTCCTCAACTTGCTATTAAAGTGATATCACCATGAGGTCACTCAATTTGAAACTGATTAGTACAAACACTGATGCCCATTTCAAGTTTTCTATATGCAAAAATATCACAACCTACACATACAGAGTGTCACTGATGATTGGTGTATATTGCTGTTTTTACTCATAGACATTACGGTTTTATCACAGATTAAATGGTTTAGACTGTATTATGCTATCCTAATTGTTAAACCAAGTCTGCAAACACCTGTGACCACTCTCACACACTGCATATTGCTGTCAAATGATTGTTAGAACAGTCACTATTTTCATAAAGTCTCAAATGACAGCTTAAGGTTCATTAATCCATGTTTAAACCTTGCAAACAGATGCTTAGATGTGAAAATGCATTTTAGTTTTTGTATCAGTACAACATTGACATATTGGGTATATTTTGTTCATTTTGTTTTAATTTCTATTTGAAAGGACTTTGAATTCATAATTTGTGAAACAGTATTGATCAACTATAGAAATATTGTCTCATATTATTGTACATAAAAGTTTACACATATTATCAACTATACTTCCCCAGTCATATGCCTAGGGGCCTCAACATGTAAAATCTCGAAAAGTAAAGGGGTGGATTTATACCCAACCATATCTGAAAAGACAAAAATTGTTTTTAATTGTTTTTTATTTGTTTAACATTATAACATGTTCTCTCCTTGGAAAAAGATCCAAGGACAATTTTCATTCACTTTGTGTTCGATTAGGAGGCATATTACATGTACCGTAAAATCTGTATTAGAAGCCGCATCTCTAATAGAAGTCGCACCCAAACTTTTTGAATAATTGAGAATCAAAAATTCATTATTTCTCATAAGTGTAGATGCTCTAATAGAAGCCGTATCCTCTCTGTTGCATTCTACCATTTTAATAGAAGTCGCGGCTTCTAATACAGATTTTACAGTACATCTTTTTGGGAAAAATAAAATTGTGAAATGATTTGCATTATCATTGATTTTTACTTTGACAATAAAAAAAATTACATGATGATGTAAAAATGATTAGGGTCTGAGGGAAAACAGTCAAAGACAAGATCTTCATTGTGGAATGTTTTTGATTCATCCACAAATTCTTGATGCAAAGCAATTTCTGCCATGTTGTTTTTCTGCACGATTTGACCTGAAAAACATCCTCTGATGTGACAGGTCAAGTCTATTATTAACCAATCAGAATTCTGTGTTGTACTGACCCAATTCTCCAGAAATTTGCATATATTGATGACAGCATTTTTTTAACGCAACATGGAAAACTGAATTATTGTGAAATTAAAATACAATCTATTAGCACTGATTTCCACAACAAGATGGTAACACTTTTTAAAAAAAAATGTGGAGGAAGGAGTGTGGAGGAAGTATTTAATACCTTTCCAGGTCGTCAATTGCATCCAAAAATTATGTCGCCAGTTGTAGGCTATGCTGTACCAAGTCTATCACACTTCCTTTTTTGACTTTGGCTTGCTTTTTAGATTTGTGCATGTTTATATTCAGTTATTATATTTGAGGTTACGTAAAATGTGTCTTTTGCCAATGTGAACACTTTGAATTCAATCTTTCTGTGATAAAATATTTGTTGTACGCAAAACCTCAATCTTTCTTATCATTTTCTGAGCCAATGCATGATAATAATGCGATCACTTTGTATGTTCATTCCAAGTCTTTTGTGTCCATTCATGGTCTTGACAATACATGTAGATGCAGCGGGCGTCATGAATCTATTCATAAATTTGCATAAAAGGTGGTAGACCTGCTACAGCTATCCACCACCATGGCGATAGCCAAGATGCACCACCAATTTAATTTCCTACTATCTTTATACTCGTATATAATGAAAACAATGTATTGGTTTACTTCACTTACCAAATAGGTGATTCTCCATCCACCACATATTACATGAAAGGACTGAATCAAATGATTTGACTTTAAACTAGAATTACTTTTTTATAACTCAATTCAGAGGAGAATATTGAGTTAAGATACTCTTTAAATATTTCATCAAAATTGACAATCATCAAATATTTAAAGCACATTATTAAGTGTGAAAATAGACAACTGATTTTGAGTCAAACTGATTTTTATCAAATCCCATGTGATGTTTTACTCCACATCTTATTAAAAATTACACATGCTAGTTAAACTAGTGGTTGATAAGATTCACAATTTAAAAAATGATTAGATAATGATGAGTTATTGTAAACACAAGAACAATTTTAAGTAAAATTTAACCAATATGTTGAAAAATAATTATATACATATAACACATACTAAATCAGACTTGGTTGAGATCACAAACTGGTTAATATAATAGAAAGAAAGAGAGTCAACAACAACAACAACAAGGACAGACATTTTCCCCTTATATGATGATACAGACAAACTTTTAGTTGCATTTCAACAAAGTATATACAAATATTACAACTCACCGGATGCTGAAAGTTTATTATTTTTGATTGCCAATGCTTCTCTCAAGTACCTCAAAATGTCTTTAACACCTTTCTCTAATATATAAGGAGGTGGGAACTCCAATGGATTGTTTTGTAGATTCAAACCATTCAGCGTGTCAACTAAACCTGTCAAAATAAACAGTATTTATGTACTATTAGTACTTGAACATAGCACAGTTACTAAGCGAAATACAATTGTCAGTGTTTGCACACTGTACAATTCTCTTCCATTGTTAATCCTATGTCAAATAAATACATGATAAGCGCAACAGTGGTACATGTTGTCTACTGCAATATCAGAAGTTCATTTACATTCACATGTTCCTATTGCCAGACTAATTTCCAATATGATCGTGTGATTTTTGACATGTCTCTATGTTTAAATCAATGCAATTATACAGACTGACAATTGATTGATGTCCTGCCTTACATCAAATGGGAATAAACAATGTGGCTTTGAGAGCACTTCGTGTTCGATCAGACTCGAATAACTGACACTGACAAACTAGTGCATACAACTGATGTAATTATGTATCAAGCCAGCTATGTCAAGTATTTCCAAATATATGACAAATGAAAATTTGTAGAGCAAAAGACCATGTGTTTTATATATATATGAATTTTTAAAGAATCTGTGAGAAGATACATAGCGAGGGGAAAGTTGCAATGGGTTATGTACAAATACATACAAATACTTGCACAAGAGAGAGAGGACACATGCTGTCAGAAACCAGCAGCCAGCGAATTTAAATGGCTATACACTTATCATACCTTAGTATGTTTTGAAGTAACCTGCTACTCGATAACCTCATGATGAGACAGCTGAAGGTAGTATAAGATTAAAAGTTCAGAGCTGTCACAAAATAGGTGAGTGTCAAGATCATTTATCAGCCATGCTTGAGCCGACTTCATTCAAACTTGGTATTTACTTACATGTAGTTACGGTACATCATTTTGTTTAGCCATAGAATTTAAAATTGGTAGCCATTTTTTGTTTATGATTCCTACCCACTTTAGATACATTTCCACCAATCGTGTTTACATTTGATGCAAAGATAAGATATAATTTGCATAATCTCTCCATGGTTTAATTTTTGGCCATTTTCATCCCATAAAAATTAAATCAAAACATTTCTCAACATTTAGTCGAGTGTTTTTCAGGCATGCCTGGGCAGATTTCTATCAAATTTAGAAATCACACAATTTATTTTATAATTTGATTCAAAATGGATGACTGGTGGCCATGTCAGTTTATTTTCATGTGTTCTTAACCATTTCTGACAAGCCTGGAGCAATTTGATTTAATGCACTGAAAATAAGACATAATGGTATACATATGCATGTTGATTTGATTGTCCCAATAAAAGAACACATCATTAACTGTTTTTCAGGTGTCCAGGCCAATTTTTTTAAAAACTCGTATGGATATTACTCATGGTGGTTGACTGATGCTCCTCATTTTGTTTGGATATCTGATTTATAATGGCCAACTGGCGGCATTTTTTTTTCAAAACATCTTATTAATTTCATTCACAGTTTTTTTTAATTTTTTAAACGTCATTACCCATTTCTCTGACATCCTTGACCAATTTTGTATAAATTTGGTACACAGGTAAATCATTATAGGTTTTATTTGTTTTTTTGTTCTGATGAAATTTCTTGACCTCCTTTTTATCCTAAAATGTCAATTCAGCTAAATACAAATGGGGACAACATTCCTCGACAGTTCTTTCATAGTACCTTAATTACTTAATTCAAGAGTGACAGTAACATTTTCTTTTTGGCAAACAAAAGACCTACTTAAAGCACAGTTTATGTGATCATGAAAAAGACTATAATATTATTATTTATCTCATCCAGGCAGCTACATAAAGGTACATGTACATATAATTTCTTTGAGTGAATTAGCCCAATGCATCCATGAGAGGACTATTGTCAGAGAACAGACAGCATGTACCACTATGACTAACTATTTTTAGAATATAACCACAAGAGATCCTTTCCATGTCCCCTAGGTAAACACAGAATTGACTTGCCCATTTTGTAAAG